TGGAGAAGTGGTGTCTTTTTTGTGTGAGTTTTTTCGAGAATGAGAAGGCGATTTTGGTAACGAAACCAAGTGTTACAAGCGAATTATAAAAATATGGAGAAATTTTAAGAAATGTGGAGGATAGGGTGCAACAAAATAATCCATAATTCATAAATATACAGAAATATACAAATTTTAACACAAATTGAAGGTATCTTTAATTCTCACGTTCTATCGAAACTGAAGAAAAAGAAGCAACAAAGAATTCGATGTCGTTTTTGAAAGAATTTTGGTGCCGTTTATGGTGCTTGTAACAAAGCAAGTATCACGTTTTACTACATAAATAACAAAAAATAGTTAATACTTCACAGTAAATTAAATATACAAACTTAAACGTCTGAAGGAAACGAAGCAACAGAGAATTCGAATTGACAAACATATGTTGAGCGAAGAATGCATAAATTTCAAGTTATTTCCAAGAAAGAAGAAGAGGAAAAATGGAATTGATTATGCAGAAATTGAAAAATGGTGTCCTTTGTATGAAGAGAATTTTTTAGAGAATGAGAAGGCAATTTTGGTAACGAAACCAAATGTTGGATACTTGTTAAATAACAGAACAATATTTAATATAATAGTTTATAGCGAGTTACAAAAATATACAAAAATTTTAAAAAATATACAGAATAGGATGCAGCAAAATAATCCTTAATTCAGAAATATACAAATTTTAACAGAAATTGGAGGTATCTTTAATTCTCACGTTCTATCGAAACTGAAGAAAAAGAAGCAACAAAGAATTCGATGTCATTTTTAAAAGAATTTTGGGGCTTTATAGTGCTTGTAACAAAGCAAGTATCACTTTTTACTACATAAATAACAAAAAACAGTTAATACTTCACAGTGAATTAAATATACGAACTTAAGCATCTGAAGGAAACGAAGGAACAGAGAATTCGAATTGACAAACATATGTTGAACGAAGAATCCATAAATTTCAAGTTATTTCCAAGAAAGAAGAAGAGGAAAAATCGAGTTGATTATGCAGAAATGAAGAAGTAGTAAATATCTTTTTACACGAAAAAAATGTTGATGTCGTTCATAGTACTCTTAACAAGCAAGTGTCACTTTTTACAAAAAATGAATACTTTCCACTGCCTTAATTACACAAACTTGAACAGAAATTACACCATTAATACTCACGTCATACCGAATCTGTACGAAAAAGACTCGATGTTATATTTCGAATCGCCGAACATACCTTAAACGCAGAACGCATGAATTTCGACCGACTGGACGACGAGACACGTTTCCTACGTATTCGACGAAATACCGAAAACACAGTACGCCACAGAAGAGGAAAGAACGCAACCAGTATCGTGAAAAAGATCCCTCGATGGGATTTTTTCAATGGAGGTTGCACCGGTTCTCGCCAGGCGAACTGGCGAACAAACGAGCCACGGCACGAGATCGGCCGATCGGATCGCGGCGAGTTGCGGCCGAGTGTCCAACTTTCACTGACAACTCGTTAGGTCCGCCGCCGTGGTTTCGAATCATTCACAGTCATTCCGCGACGTCGGTAGACCGCGGCAGCGTCGGTCAATTCT